ACCTCGGTTGGTGATGAAACGTTTGCAAACAAATTGCCAAGCTTGGCGAACAGGCGAAATAGAATTCACTTCACCCGAGCTAGGAGGACCGACTTTCAATACTTTGAGTTGACACTTCACCCGTGATGCGTCCACCGGATGAAATGTAGCTGCCCAAATAACAAAACTTACCCGCTTGCTCTATTACTTCTCCAGTAAGAGTGAGATTGGGTGCTGGACCAACCCAGTTATGTAGTAACATTTTACACTTTGAAGGTGCAAAACGCATACGGAATATGGCTACACTGGCATTCAAGTTATCCAAGAAATGCTTGCAACTTACATGGATCTTCACTTAGTAGCACAATGTCGTCTGCGTACTCCAGATCAAACAGCCTGCCACATGGGAGTAAATCGATGCCACTGTCCTCGCACGAGGATAGGGCTGTTCGCATAATCAGATCTATAACAAAGTTCAATAGAAAACGAGAAAGAGGGCAACCCTGACGAACACCACTTTCCGTGGTGAACTCGGGAGAAAAAGTGCCGTAAGCCCGGACTCGACTTCGGCTATTAGTATAAAGCGATCGTAATATTGAAATAAACTTCTGGGGCACTCCCTTCAGGGAAAGGCAGCGTCTGAGTTTAGAGCGGTCGACTGAGTCGAAAGCCGCTTTCGAATCTAGGAAGACAGAGATGGTGGGTCTACGAAAAGAATGCCGGTGCTCCAGAATTCGGCGCAGAGTGAAGATGTGGTCGATAAAACCTCGACCGGGTTTAAAACCAACCTGGTTCTCACGCGTGCACCGTACATGTGTGGCAGACAATCGATGAAGTATGATGACAGTGAGAAGCTTAGAAGCAATGTTGATTATGATCACCGATTCATACCATTCAGCTGGAACCTGTTCCCTCTCCCACACTGAGCCCAGGAGTTTCGTTAACTCTGAAACCAATGCTAAACCTCAATCCTTAAAAACGGATGGAGAGTCCGTCGGGGCCGGAGGTTTTATGCCTTTTGAGACAACTTATTTTCGGGGAAACTTCCATTTCAGATGGAAGACTGGCATCGACTAGCATAATTTGCACAGTCGCGGTGGAGGGTGATAGTTTAGATGTCGATGGGGGCCAGTTGAACTGAGCCTCGAAACGTTCAGCCCATCGATCGAGACGGCGTTGCTGATCGTGAATCAGTGTGCCATCGGANTTCCTAATTAGACGGAAAAGATTGCGACTATTACCAATAACCGCAGCCTTCTCCATCTCTCTACACTTTCCTACTCACGACTTCTCGTGGTCATTCCTCAGACTCTTGATGAGCTGGCGTTTGAGGGATTTGTGCGCTGTCATATGCGGTATCGGGAGGAAGGGTTCTGCGGGCATCCAGCAGTGCAGCCGAGGTCGATGAGACCCATCGTTTGTGTTTTGAGCCTGCGTGAGAGTCGGCAGCAGGAAGTGATCCCTCGCCTCCGAATTGAGGGGGTCTGTGACTTTAGCTTTTAAAGGCCAGTCACATCCACATTTGTCACGACACCGTCATGTGGCTCTAAAATAGGAGCCAGACGACCCACCACACCCTGGTATTGCCGCCGCTGTTTGTTCGCGACTGCTTATTTGTTGCGGTATGCCACAGCGTATTCACAGTTAATCTTCTTCGATGAAGGTATTACGCCTATCCACAACCCGAGGACGCGCCTGGTAGCATTCAGCTCTGCTTAACCCGAAGGTGTATTGAGCACCTTGGATGTTTGATCCCGTCCAAAGGGCGAGTAATCTGATGAACTGGACGCCGGCTCTCAATGGACTGCGGTTTGCTCACACCGCCCCGCTGCCTTGCGGGTCATGTTTTGGCGGGTCAAAGGCTCCGGTTGTGGATTCTTCAAGAAAATTCATCTGCCTTGGTCCGGGCAACTTGGCAGTATTTCGCCCACATGCAAATCACGAAGGTTTTTCTTTTTCATAAAGATTATTGTACCAGGATTTGTTTGACACACAGTCTGGATTCCGACGTGTGAAAATAGAAATAGAAGAACAAATCGTGGTTCGATCATGCATTTCGCCCATATGCAGTTTTGGAACCACACGACAGAAAATGTGTTCAAATCGGTTGTTCTTTTATTCAGCAGGGTGGATAAGGATACCGTTACCACGGCTGAAACGTGCGAACATATTTATTCTCGATGGTATTCTGACAGTTTTCGTCATTGCATAGTACACAACATGGTGTGATCGGTGAGAAGATAGCCCGTGTTCTCGTGGCGGTGCTGGATCGGACGACAACGGAGCAAGCTATCATTCGATTAGTTTAACAGTGATTGGTACTCATGGACTGGATTCCATAGCAAACTTGGTCGTCCCGATTTTCTCAAACGAACTGTACTAAGAACTAAATTACTTGTTCGCACAATGGGTTTACTGAAAATAAGCACTGAAAACAGTGGTACCGAAGTTAGATTGCAAGAGTCGCGGATTGAAACCAAACTGTGTATTAGCTCAGTAATATCGGGTTCATTCGATGTCTTCGATGCACCTAAAATCTAGCTTCAATCGGACACGGTGGTATGTAATTCGGAAAGAACTTGCAAACTGGTTATTTTCAATGAAACCGGATCAACTTTTCAGACATCCCATAAGAACACACGATCCAGTGACCCAGAAATACAAGATTTCACGGAAACTTAGTTTACCGAAAAGCCAAAGGGATTCAATACTTTCGTGGGACAAGAAATCAAATGTACAGGCCCGAACAACTTCGTATGCGTACGGGCGGGAGGGGATTGGAACGACGATCTTCCAACCAGATCGAGTATGGGCACTGATGCATAGAGCCCTCATGGCTACACTCCGTGTAAACTACCTACGGAATGGTGTGAATTAATCATGAGACTCATTTCTGCATCGTCCTGCCACAGCTGATGTCGAAAAGTCACGTGGTCATCATTCAGCGAAGTGCCCGAAAGACCCGGATTAACACCGACGGTAACCTCGATGCCATACAACATGGAAGGCATCAACATTCAAAGCCCAGCCGAGCACGTCCCGGTTAAATCGTACCTTAGTGGAACAACATTTGTCGTGGATAAGAGGAATCACCACACCTAAAGGTCCACAGTTTGATCGCACGTGCTATATATACCGAACAACGACGCACGAAACGAGCTATGTAGGGTGAACAACTTAAACTAGGTATGGCAGTTAGTGATCGTTTTGTACTTCGTAATAAATTAGCATGCAAATTACGACGACGGAATGGAACAAAAACACGGTTGCCCGGATCAACCAGTCCTAAGTAATGACACTTCGGTAACGAGTATACACACGCACACACATGCCGCCGACCTAGAGGCCAATTCTTTGGGGTTTAGCGATCCCCTACAAATTTGGCCGATTCCTTTTTAGTCCACTTGGATAAGTGAATGTGACAAANACAAAATGACTGCTGGCGTGCATTTGCGAATATCCGGCAACTACAAATCACGCCTGACCCCCCGTGCGGTCAGCTTAAAGTGCGCCCCAATGAACTGATGATCAGGATCGGGCACATACACAAGGAACCGCTCACCCCCACCCCACCCCGGTACCGTTCAACATGAGAATCGACCGAGAATCTTAGGATCGATTTTGTCTCATAGTCGATCTGTAATAGAAGAATTGATGCCACGCCACGTCAGGAATAACTGATTGTTCATCCTAACGCACATCACATATCCGAATGACAGAAAAACAACTAAGCTGTTAATGAAACGATTGCGCGTTCACCAACTTATTTGAATCATACTGCATTTAATGAGAAGAAGTGAACACAAATGTCAGAAAGATGAATGCATCAGATCACGCGCACCCATTGCGAAATTCGTATTCGAGCCGTAGAACTTAGAGTGGATAAATACAGGAGATTGTAAGAAGATAAGTATGGTATTTGATGCACGTGAACGAACGAAAACCTTGGTTAAATGATTAAGTCATGTTAATGATCACTTGAAATCTGACTGATGTCTAAAGTGCAGGCATTTTGGTAAGTAAAGCGGCTAGGCGACAGTGCTGAGCCCTCAGACGGTTGTACACTGACACATGGACACAGAAAAACAGCACAGAATGCTTATTTCTGAAACGGGAAGAATGTGTACGAGATGCGAACGGAATACGCCTACGTTATTTGGTGCTCACACGATTTCTGGAACCACTTGATCTTCCTTTCAACAGCGCATTGCTGTACGGCGAAATACAATGAAGCGATCGCTACCCAGCTCACCTTTCACGCAACGTACGTACGAGGCTATGGTCTTTTGGAAATTGGGGCAAGGAGAAGGTGAACCAAAAATGATCAGTCGAGAGTACATGGCCGGAACTGTACGTACACAACACTTCACTTCAAGTATTCCAGCTTTAGAAGTAGGAAAA